GCGAAGCGTGAGCTCCTGAAGAAGGTCAAGGCACACGCCGACAAGAAGCTCGGCGATGTCAAGGTTGAGAATGCGCTCGGTGGCATGAGGTATGACGCCTAATCATATCTAGAGGCGCGCTCTAACATGACTGAAGGGGTCTCAAGGCCATGGTTTGGGAAGGCTCGGTTCTTGATGCGAACGAGGGCATTCGATTCCACGGCAAGACCATTAAAGACTGCCAAAAGGAGCTGCCCAAGGGTACTTCCGGCACTGAGATGCTTCCTGAGGCCATGTTCTGGTTGCTCCTCACAGGCGAAGTGCCATCAGTATCACAAACTCGCGCACTCTCGCGGGAGCTCGCCGAAAAGGGCCAGATCCCAAAGTTCGTTCAGAAGATGCTAGACGACTTCCCCAAAGATCTCCACCCGATGACACAGTTCGCATGCGCCGTCTCGGCATTGAACTACGAGTCCAAGTTCGCGAAAGCCTATGAGAAGGGTATCAACAAGGCCGATTACTGGGAGCCTACCTTTGACGACTGCATCAGCCTGCTCGCCAAACTGCCTACCATCGCCGCAAAGATCTACCAGAACGCATACCGTGGTGGAGGCGCTCTCCCGAACGAGATCGACCTGAACCAAGATTGGTCGTACAACTTCGCTGCCATGTTGGGCAAGCCAGGCAAGGAGAATGAGGGCTTCCAAGACCTTCTCCGGTTGTACCTTGCTCTGCATGGTGACCACGAGGGTGGTAACGTCTCGGCGCACGCAACACACTTGGTCGGATCTGCGCTCAGCGATCCTTTCCTGAGCTACAGTGCTGGTCTTCAAGGACTCGCAGGACCCCTGCACGGTTTGGCTGCGCAAGAGGTGTTGCGTTTCATCCTCGACATGCAGAAGGTCGTTGGTGAGAAGTTCACCGAGAAGGACGTAAACGAGTTCCTCTGGAGCGTTCTCAAGTCTGGACGTGTTATTCCTGGCTACGGACACGCCGTGCTCAGGAAGCCCGACCCGCGATTCGAAGCTCTCATGGACTTTGCCAACGCACGACCCGAGATTGCGGCAGACCCTGTTTACCAGCTGGTTAAGAAGAACTCTGAGGTTGCGCCGGATGTCCTCAAGGAGCACGGAAAGGTGAGATGGAATATTCTGATCAACTCAGATCATTGCTGACTTGTTTTGTAGACCAAGAACCCCTTCCCGAACGTCGACTCGTCGTCAGGTGTTCTCTTCCACCACTTCGGCTTCAAGGAGACGCTCTACTACACAGCGACCTTCGGTGTCAGCCGTGGTCTGGGCCCGCTCGCACAGCTGATTTGGGACAGGGCACTGGGTCTTCCCATCGAGCGCCCCAAGTCGATCAACCTGCAGGGCATACTGGACCAGGTCGGCGCATAAGCGTGGAAGGTCATAGGCTTGTTGGAGAGGATGTGAAGTTAGAAGTGACGAACCGAATGGTTGGGAAATGTAGCCATGAATTCAAACATGTATGCAAACAATGTCAGCGTGGTTTGGTGAAGGGTGGATGATGCGCAACCAGAAGGCCCGCCTGGACGCAAGCGCGGGCGGGAGTCGACCCACGAGATCGGCACCTAGTCAGGGACGAGACGCCATCGCGCGCAAGCCAGCCCGGTGAAACATTCGCCTTGAACCACGACGCTCGCTGTGTACGCCGTGTCTTCTGTCCTACAGAAACACTCTAACCATCCTCTTTACTCGATCCATCACTCCCTCGTGATTTCCGGATTATCGCATTCAATGCTAGCCTCAACATCATAGAGCTCAACGCTCGCGCCGTCATCGATAGCCTAGCCGTTTGAGCCGCCAACGACACAACACCGCCCACCTCTTCCTTTAAAGCAGGCCCCGGCTCCGACCAAAATGCCGCCCTACGAAGTCCACGAAATGCGCCGAGGCAAGTACGCCAAGCTCGACAACCCCGTCGACGACGATGTCGAGACCCCGACGCGCTTCTCCTCCGAATCCAACGGGACGCTAGAAGATCTCGAAGAACACGACCCCCTCGCATTCGACAGCAAGATTAGGCGCAAGAAGAGCGCCGGCGATCTCAAGGTCAGGAAGGCGTCCTACAGAGACACCGAGGACGCGGCCCCATTCCCTGTACAGCAAAGGAAGTCGCGGTGTGCGCCAGGACGGTGCTGCTGCTGGCTGCTGGTCTTCGTCGCCGCCACCGTCTTGATACTCGCCTCGGGCGGCATATGGGCATACAAGGTCTCGGTGCCTGAGGATGGGCTGAGTCCGCCGTGGTACCCTTCGCCAAAAGGTGGCACCGACAAGGCATGGGAGGACAGCTACAAGAGGGCTGCCGACCTGGTCAAGCAGATGACGCTGCCTGAGAAGGTCAACATCACAACGGGCACAGGCTGGAGCATGGATCTCTGCGTCGGTCAGACCGGGCGCGTAGACAGGCTGAAGTTCCCCAGCTTGTGTCTACAGGTACGTACATTCCGCATGTCTCTAGGACAAAACTAATGTGCTCAGGACGGCCCACTGGGTATTCGATTCGCCGACAACATCACCGCATTCCCTGCCGGAATCACTACCGGCGCGACCTGGTCCAAGGAACTCATGTACCTGCGCGGAAAGGCCCACGGCCAAGAAGCACGCCTCAAGGGCGTCAACGTCCTGCTGGGTCCTGCCATGGGTCCTCTTGGGAGAATGCCAGCTGGTGGTCGCGTCTGGGAGGGTTTCGGCTCAGACCCCGTTCTCCAGGGCATTGCAGCTGCCCAAACCATCAAGGGCATCCAGGAGGAGGGCGTCATGGCTACCGCGAAGCATTATGTCGCTAACGAACAAGAGCACTTCAGACAAGCATGGGAGTGGGGCCTTCCAAACGCGATATCGAGCAACATCGACGATCGCACACTACATGAGATCTACGCATGGCCCTTCGCCGACTCTGTCAAAGCTGGAGTGACCAGCGTCATGTGTTCGTACAACCAGGTCAATTCAAGCTATGCCTGCCAAAACTCCAAGCTGCTCAACGGTGTCCTGAAGGATGAGCTTGGTTTCCAGGGCTTTATTCAGAGTGACTGGTTAGCACAGCGTTCAGGCGTGGCTAGTGCTCTTGCGGGCTTGGACATGACCATGCCTGGAGATGGCTTGAGATGGGCCAAGGGCAACAGCCTATGGGGTCCTGAGCTCAGCCGTGCGGTTCTCAATGGAAGCGTTCCCATCGATCGTGTCGACGACATGGTTACTCGTATTGTGGCATCTTGGTATCAGGTTGGCCAGGACAAGTGGGAAAATGACGGACCAAACTTCTCTTCGTGGACAAACGATCGGGTCGGCAAGCTTCACGAGGGCAGTCCATCGGACCACGAAACAGGCATCGTAAACCAGTACGTCAACGCGCAAGGAGAAGGGAAAGAAGCCCATGGACACCTAGTACGCCGTGTCGCAGCCGAAGGTACCGTCCTGGTAAAGAACGATGGCAAGATGCTGCCTCTGGACCGAAAGGGCTGGAAGACTGGCGGAAAGGCCAAGACAAAGTTCCGTGTTGGTGTCTTTGGTGAAGATGCACGTCTCCCTCATGAGGGAATCAACCACTGCCCTGATCAGAGCTGCAACGAAGGTACATTAGCCTCAGGATGGGGTTCTGGCGCGGTCAACTTCTCGTATCTAGTGGAGCCCATGTCCGCTATTCGAGACGCGTTCGACAACGAGACTGTTTACGTCACCGATTGGCTAGAAAACAAGCTGCCTAGCCAGAAGGAGATTCTCGTCGATCAGGACCTCTGCATTGTCTTCGCCAACGCCGACGCTGGAGAGGGCTACCAGCACTATGAAGGCATTCGTGGTGACAGGAATGACCTTAATCTGCAAAAGGGCGGCGACAAGCTAATTCAGGATGTTGCTAAAGATTGCGGAGAAGGCATGGGCGATGTCGTGGTTGTTATCCACACTGTTGGACCTGTAATCCTGGAGAAGTTCATCGACATCATGAACGTCAGAGCCGTCATTATCGCCAATCTTCCCGGTACTGAATCTGGTAACGCCATCGTAGACGTACTCTTCGGTGACGTCAACCCATCTGGACGTCTACCTTACACAATCGCTAAGAAGGAAGACGACTACGGCCCAGGCAGCAAGATCAAGTATCTTCCAACCCCAAAGGATGGTCTGGCGCCTCAACAGGACTTCTCCGAAGGTCTCTACATAGACTACCGTCACTTCGACAAGAAGAATATCGCCCCACGATTCGAGTTTGGCTACGGCCTTTCGTACACCGACTTCAAGCTGTCCTCTCTCCTCATCGAAGAAAAGGCCGCTAAAACACCTCTTCCCAAGCCTCGACCTGACGGCCTGACTCCACCAACCTATTCTACCGACCTACCAGATCCCAAATCTGTACTGTTCCCTGAGGGCTTCAACCAAGTCGAGCGATTCATCTATCCATGGCTAGATTCCGTAAAGGGCATCAAGAAATCCGACCCCACGACCCCTGCACCATCATCTCCTCTAAGCCAGGCAGGCGGTGGTCCAGGTGGCAACCCCGATCTCTACACCACGCTCCTGACTGTATCGGCGTCCCTAGAAAATGCCGGACCCGTCGACGGCGCATCGGTAGTCCAACTCTACATATCCTTCCCGCAGAACTACAAGGACCACGAGACGGGTGAGCCCGTCGACTTCCCCGTTCGCGTGCTGCGCGGATTTGAGAAGATCCACCTTGAGAAGAATGCAGGCAAGCTGGTGCAGTTTGATGTGACGAGAAGGGATTTGAGTTATTGGGATGTCAAGAGGCAGAACTGGGTGCTGCCTAACGGCGAATTTGGTATTAGTGTGGGTTTCTCAAGCCGAGATCTGCCGCTGGAGGGGAAGTGGTGAGCTTGTGTTTTCTTGGATAGAGGGGCAATTGGTCTGGTGTTGGGTGTTATATTTTGTTGGTTGCTGATATCCCATATATACAATCTATCTGTTGTTCATCTTGCTCACAATGTCAACTACACTGTATCGCTGGCCCGTGACTACTGGGCTTCGTCTTCTTGGATAAGCTCATAGTTCACTCTTCCCCGAGCCATCTTGTCCTTCCATCGGTCTGCGTCCTCTAGCAAACAGGATCGTGCGCCACAGCTTCTTGCCACCGAACTCCATGTAGTTCTTCTCTTTCATCGTAATGACATCCACATCCACGAACCCAGCTTCCGCGAAGAACTGCTTTACGCCATCGATAGTAAAGTGCGGAACCACTATCGAAGCATTCATCTTCTGGCGGAACTCAGTGTTGCTTTCGCCAACATCATGCTTCTTCTCAGCATCATGGTGGTGATGATGCGAATGATGATGCCCATGCCCATGAGATCCAGAACCCTTCTCTTCCCCATGACCATGATGATGTCCATGACCATGAACAGCATGATTCCCCTCGCTTCCCTCAATCATACTCCCATCCTCCCCCGCCAAAAGATCACCTCCCTCCAGAAAATCATTAATAACCAACACACCGCCCGGCCTCAACCTCTCCTTCAACTGCCTTGCCGCAAACACCACATCCTCGAAATGATGGAATCCAAACCCCACAGTCGCGATGTCGAAGTTCCAAAACCTATCCCCGGAAAGCGACTCGGGGTCAGGATCAGACTTGTCGAAAAGGTCGCCTACAACGGCATTGACTACATCCTCGGAGAGTCCGGCGTCGCGGGCGCGCGTGTTGTATGTGGAGACCATGTTGGGTGATATGTCGATGCCTTGGGTGGAGGTGACGTAGGGGCCGAAGACGCGGGTCATGAGTCCGGTGCCGCATGCGTAGTCTAGAAGACGGACTGGTTGAGTGGTGGAGTCTGTGAAGGGTATGCCTACCCATGATAGGTCGGAGCGGAGGGTGGTGGCTACTCGGTCGTTGACGACTTTGAACCAAGGCTTACTGTCGTAGGAGTCGGATATGGCACTGTGATACGTTTAGTATGGCTTTACGTTTCTGGATTTTAGGAGGTGTCGCATACTCGAAGTACCGGCGGTTGGCTTCCGCGTAGCTCATCTTGGATGGTGGGTTGGGGTGAGGGGTAGTTTTGGTCTTTTGAGAGTGGTGTTGTAGTCTTAATGGGTATGTAGGATGTTCGGAAGGTGTAAGAGATAGTAATTGGAAATTCTGGAGAAGATCCAATGTTCCTTTTGTATGTTGAAGATAGCTGTGAAGATGGAGGCAAAGTCGCCGATCTACGTCGGAGACATAAGTACGCTAACCCTCTATTGGTGGAGCATCACCAAAATGGATTGGGAAACACGCAGTACATGGCACTATGTTACCGGATATCACAGCATGCAAAGGAAAAAGTACGACTCCAGAGTTTAGTTTACACACATGCTAACTCGGTGAATCGTTGGATGCACAACCGGCCGGACGTTACTCATTCTACATCTGAGCTATGAAGACTAGTCGTCGGAGACATTGTCGTGTGGCTCCGCAAAGTATAGAAAAGCAACCACTTATCGTGAACTCGTAATTCGCCGTCGCGATAGACAGAATATGACTCATATCCGTCTACGACAGAGTAGAACTCTCGTTGTGTTTAACACAGGCATTCTCGTCGATGCGCATGTGTCTGTGTTGTGCCATGTATCATCAAGAGAATATCCTTTCCATGCTGTCAATGTTCTCCGGTGTTGATGAATTATTGTCTTCTCGAGAGATTTGGGTTTGCAGAGCTTGTTGCCGCGCAAGGCCTTCTTCTCTTTTCCGCCGTTTCCTGGCGTCCGTATCTTCCCAATCTGGCTTGGATCCACACGCAGTCGGTTCGTACGTCTCCAAGAGGGCCTTGCGAAACCGGCTTATGCGATCGAAGTTGATGTTGAATCGCTCGTTTGCAATGTTTACTAGTGTTCGTAGATGTCGCTCGTCTACCAAGGCAACATTGCGGCCATCACCATCTTGATAGCCAATGATGGAGTCGAATGAATAACCAGCTGACCGGACAGCCACGATGGGGTTCGACTCTGCTGTCTTCGCTGACCCTAGACTCACGGCGCCACTCTCACGGAACCCGGCAGCTAAGGCAGCAGTGAGGACACCTTGGGCACGATCCATTGATGCACTCAGGACGTGGAGTATCTGTGCCACGTCAGACCATGTCAACCTGCCATGACGACTGAAGATACCATAGGTTCAAATTTAAGATGAATGTACCTGCTGGACACGCTAGGTGTTTCCTCCGTTGCTTCAGCCTTGTCTAAGCCAAACTTTGACATGAGGTCACCTGTTGCGTCGTCTCGCCCAAGTGGCGTGTGTGAGATGAACAGCCATGCACCCCCACCACCTTTTCCTCCTGGTCCAGCGCGTGAAGTCTCACCTTCAGGCAATTCATCTGGTACTTCATTGTCTGATTTGCGTCCTTCCAAAAACACGCTGATGCGCCCCGAACAGCTGCTAGTGGTGACTAGTCCTGGGAGATTGTTGATCTCGCCGATTAAATCTCGGATGGGCGCATCGACGGACCCCTTTGGCGACAGATCATGATACTCGCCATCTGGAGCGTCAAGTTGCTCCAGGATCTTTTGCTTGCGAGCTTCGAAGCGTGTCGGCATGTCAGTCGGGCGTGCTTCCTGGCTGGGGTGGAAACGTGACAGCGCGCTGTATTTTCGCGTTCGAGTGCGTCATCGATGGTCTGTGCGCGCGTCATCTTCCAAGCAGCCACGAAGGCACCTGCAATGACAACTGAGTATCACGCCTATCACTTTCCCAAGTCGCATCACTCGAGATCATGCCACGTAAAGCCACTAAAAGCGCAAGTGCTCCAGCTCCCAGGAGCAATTCTAAACGTCCTGCGCCGGAGGTTCCAGCACGGCAGTCTAAGAGAGCACGGGCTACCGCAAGGAAGTCTTACGTCGAGCCTGAGAGCGACACGGATAGCGACGGGAACAAACCCAAGGCAGACGTCGCACCCGACGATGACGAGGATGACGTTGTAGCATCTGACTACGAGGAACATAGCGACAAGGATCCATCGTCGGAATCCGAGCACGATGAAACCGCCAGTGACGACGAACCTGAGGACAAGCGAGCAGCTCCCAGAGGGCGCGGAACCAAGAGCCTTGCCATACACAAGAAGGCCGCTGACGAGAAAGAGCTATGGAAACCCGGTGCGAAGCTCGCACCAGGAACACAATTGATCATCAAGAAACCAAAGGCTCGAGATGCAGGCGACACGCCGTACTTGGATCACACAGTCCACCCAAATACTATGCTGTTCCTTAAAGACTTGACGGCTAACAACGACCGCCAATGGCTGAAGCGTGAGTGATGGTTTACTACGTTTCATGTCAAACGGCACGATCGGACCGCTAGCTGACGTCTATGTCGTAGTCCATGACCCTGACTTTAGAGTTTCATTCCAAGATTTTACCACTTTTGCGGAGAAGGTATCCGAGAAGATCATCGAGGCAGATGAGACTGTCCCAGAGTTGCCTGTCAAAGATGTAGTAAGTGTTTGCGATTGGATTATCGTAGTACGATTTACTAAAACGTGTAGATCTACCGGATTTACAGAGGTGAGCCCGAAGTATGGTCTTAGCTGGATTGTGCTCACAGTAGAAAGATATTCGGTTCTCGAAAGACCCAACCCCATACAAGGTGAGTGAATACATTGAACTTCCACGCTAGGGTGGGGTCATGCCCTTGAAGCCGTGTCACGAAGTCGAGGGACACAGCATGCTGCCAAATCATCATGGCACTATGGCATATGCTCTGCGACCCGACGAATAGCTTCAGCATGATGTCCTTTGATGGCTACATGCAAAGCAGGCTGACCTGATCTAGACTTACTTTTCTGCGGCCTGGTCAAGAACTGTAAGTCACACATGGGTTCAAGCTTATGTGAGCCCCACACTGACATTGTATACGACGCGCAGGGACGCAAGGGACCTTACGCACACTACTACATCCAGGTGCAACCCAATGGTGGTAGCTTCGTAGGTATGTTCGATTCTCCTCTCTTCGTCTTCGCGGAGACACCCGAGCCGCGAGCTGTTGTGGAACTCAAGCGCAGTGCGAAGTGACCTCGTGGCCACCGCATTGCTTCTTTCGACTCCATGTGCATAGGGTATGCAAGTGTACCCAATGCTCGTCACCACGACAGCTGCTGCGAGCCTCGGCTCCACAGCGACTCTTGTCGTGTGGTCGACCTTGCACTCCTGACCATGTGTCGCATTATACGACTGCCGGCTCGGAGACGACAATGCATCGCCATGCGGTGAGATTGACCGATCCGACCAGCGCTGCACGTTATGGCCATGCGGGGAATATTGACGGTCACTATGCCACACAATTGGACCCATGTGCCTATGTCTCGTCGGACAGCGTAGAGTAACATATTGTCTTCTCGGTTGTACCGCGCGGTATCCGGGAGGTAACGTATCGAACCGTTTGAGGGTTTGGCAGCGTGCAGCGAGGTGTCGTCGGGATGGTACATTCATCTGATGCACGTCAGTGTGTATCCATTCTGCCTATGCAAGAGGCACCATAGTCAGCGGCGCGTCAATGGCTCATCGATATCCTTTCTTACACGAGAATGCGCTGACTTTGAAAGGTGGTGGCTTCTGGCAGCCTGACGCGTCGACTCTGGCCAAACTACGACGCGACATTGATCGCAAACCGCACAAGATCAAGGCCGTACTAACGGACTCTGGTATTCGAGAAGCTTTCCTGGGTGGAGTCAAAGATGACGAGAAGAAGGCTGTGAAGGCTTTCACGAGCTTGTCGATGAATCAGTCGAATGCTCTGAAACGCAACCCAAAGGTATGCAGCATCTGTTTAATCCATCCCTTGAGACAGCAGGGTATCAGCAGACAGATCTCGTGTCATCAAGCATGAAATATGCTTGTGAAACACCATGGTCACGACGTCTTCTCACAAGCAGAGTCGATTTTTGCAAGGTCTGGTATCGGCTTTGCCGCGATCGGGTACTGTCCGCCGCCTGACACGGTTCAACACCAAAACTAGCACGGAAGCTCCCCGCCTACAAGGATGTATCTCCATGAAAATCTTCCGCTACACCATCTCGCAAACGGCACACGATCACGATGACGTACAATCAGCTTCAGTCTCGTACTGGAAGGTTGTGCGTTACAACTGTGTGCCGTCCCGCAAATAGAGTTTCAAGTCGCCCCGCACTCAACAAGTTGAGCTGAGTTGGAGTAGTCATGGCTAGCACCCTTTGAGTAGGCGGGGTTCTCTGCTCGCAGCAGTCTGCAAAAGCCCAGTCGCGGGGATTATGATGAACAAACTTCAAACTTCAAACTCACTGCAGCTGTTCATGTTTGCTGACACCTCTCCAGGGATATGACCATGACCACAAAGATGTCGAACTCATGCGGCTCCGCAACTACACCATGGGGCGGAAGCTCGCAGACGATGAAATTGTTGGTTCTGGGGGCTTGGAGCGAGTGGGTGAACTCATTGCCAGTATGGTACCCTTTGTAAGTCTATCCTTCCATACTCTTGACATTAACGGCCTCACGTTCCCATTGGACAAGACAAGATAAGAGCGGCGGCAACTTGTTAGGGAAGTGCCTGTACGGTGCAAGCGATGGGGTGACTATAGTGCCGGCCAGTAGTGCGTTGGCAATGCAGTCACCCGCCCATCGTAAAATCCTTCAGGTGTGAAGGACGACCACAGCAATCTCCCGGGAGGCGTTGCACACAAGGCCGCTAACAACCGTGGCAGATCACGTATCTGAACAGCATCGCGATGCCCGACGACGACACGTCAGACTCGAGCGAGGACGAAGGAAGCGATGCCGAGCCCGACGATGACAGCAACGCCGCAGAGGATGACGAGGCTTGATGAGAGCAATTTCAACAACGCATGTTCGAGGCACGGTGCTTCGAGCCGAAGTCATTTAGATGCACACATTGGTGGGAGCGTGGAGGAGTGGGCCACGCAAGCGCAAAGACCGCCAATAGACGCTGGTGTAACCCTGCCACGGTGGCGCTGACTGGTTGACACAACCGATGCCATGCAACAGACTAAGTCATCGTGCAGCATTAGCTCCAGCACGAGCGGATAACTGGGATCAACATGCAGCGCTAGTAGGTCACGGGAGCACTTATGCCAAATGCAGTATCCTCGGTCTTATGATGGGCCTTGTTCATTTCGGATCTAGCTGCCTCGTACCCTGGCCCCCTCTTAAAGCTACGCTCAGACGCGGGCCTGCCGTCTTTCTTAGCGGCTTTTCCCTAGCTAAACGAACGAGGGGAGGCAGTGCACAGTGCTCACTCTCCCTCTTTTTCGATCACGACGCAGTGTAGATGGCTGACCGCATCGATGCCAGATTCTTGCCATGACAGTGCAGCAGAGGATTTGCCAGGGTGTGCAGCTATCGCTTCATATAATCGCCAGGCCCCGATCAGCTGGCCTCCCCACTATCCATTTTGGCACAGTGACATGCTGCACACGTTGCGTTAGTCTATACACGGCTACGGCTCGGGGCGCACTCGTTGTCCGTCTGGGATGCATGGGTTTACGCCCTAACGCGTCTGATCGAGGCCAGCTGCATCTCATGACGAAGGCTTCAGCGAATCTTTACCGGCGCCGTGAGTAGCTGGCGGTTAGTTGCTGCATCGCTCAGCGTCATGCACTCATAAGAAGCGGAAAGTTGAGCGGCTTACGCTGTTGGGCTGCGCTTGACGTGGTGTAAGCATGACGCCAGCAGCTCCAACGCCAAACCTTCAGAATCTCAATGCGAGCTGTGGTCCTTCTACGGCGCGATTTTGCATTGCACAGTGCATTCCAGTTGAACAACGAGGCTTTGAGCAGCTTCAGTATGCCTTCAAAAGGCGGTGTGGTTATAAGGCAACTCGTTGTGTCTATTGAATCCCACCGTCCATCACACCGATGAGCTGCAGATATTTCTTTCTTCCGCGAATTAGCACGCTTCGGGCTGATCCATCGACCCGCAATGGCTTGCGTCCGCTTATCCACCCCTTCCGCGTCTCTAGATGATATTTACCGGCGTTTGTGACACAGCTGGATCTCGCAAAGCCAAAACGTGTCGCCTTGCCCTTCTCGGCCTTCCGCCGGGTTCGGTAAGGCGAGCCTACACCGTCGTCTGCCCGAAGATGAGGCGGACGAGCGCTGGGGTAGAGAACGGAGATGGGATACCGCTTATCCGACAGGATGTCGTCCCTCACACCACTACTGCAAGGACGGAAACTCGTTTGTTGGAGCATCAGCAACATGCGGTACTGCGGCGCATCAAAAGTATTGTCAGGATGCAAAGGAATGCGTGTACACCGATGCAACGCCATCACCAGACTGACCACGCCTCTATCGCACCAGCACACCTTGACAGATCGGTGAGGTTGTTTGTTTTGCACTGGCCACGGACGCGCTGTGGAAGCATTGCCCGCGTTCTTTATGCCTGTCAGACACTAGAACGGTGCCACGGGCGAGGCATCGTCTCGGAGGCTTGACGATATCTTCCCGCCTGATATATCTGAATCTGGTTTTACCTGCAGATTGGCGGTACACAAAATGCGGCACAAGCGACATGGCCCTTTCGCGCTGCTTACGGTGACACGAATGGGTAGACTCCGCAATCTCCAGCTATGCTATGCATATTGCGGGAAGGCTTCGGTGACACAAACTTCGTTAATCTAATTATCAACGGGACACACGCGGGAATTCCACATCTCGTCCCGAGCCGCGGATACACCTGGTTCCAATTGAGCCAGCTCCCACCGTCCACGCGCGGCGTCGCAATCTCCATGGCCACCACCATGACTGAGCATCGCTTACCGTCTGCACTGCAGTGGTGATGGACGTTGCGCGGCTATTTGCTTGGGTGAATCGACCGAGGCGGCTGAAGATCACGTCCAGAACAGATCCTGGTTGATCTACCCCACAATCCGCTCACTTGGTGTAACCGTCATCAGCGGCATTCAACGGCACTTTTTCAATGTGCAACACAAGGCTGCTGTCCTTGATTGTCGGCCAAGTCAAGGATGATGCTCCTTGGACTGATGGTTTCAGACGAATATAGTCGCAGACAAATGACTGCATTGGGCCTCATCTATCACGCGCTCGTGACTGACTCGAAAGGGCGAAATACGGTGTGGCAGTCAATCAAATTACAACAATTATTAAAAGCGATTGGCTGCAAGCGGTCATCCCGCTGAATACGGTGCCAATGAGTGAAAACGGCACTGTGGCCGGGACGACGGCTTTGACCGGTAGACACGTCTTGTGACTGCAGCAAGGTTTTTTGTCGTGCTCGATAGGATTTACCCGTCGAGCAGCAGCTGCAAGGCACATGCCAGCTGGAATGCTGAGATTTGCCCAAGTAAGTTGAATGCTAGGCAAGGGACGTGCTGATTGGTCGATTAAATTTGACCGAGACCTGGACGGTGGAAAACTAAGCTTGAGAGAGTGCGGGCCGTCCGCCCTAATCTCGAGGCAAGAGACACAGGACGAGGTGCTTAGGCAAGCATGGATAGCAATGAACTACTGCTGACTATTCTTTGTTCCAGGTGTGGGCGTCGTCACGTATATGCAGTCAGGTGAAAATAGGCCGGCGAGGAGCCGAGGCTGAAAGCGCCCTGGGCGTTTCGCGATTCTCCATGCCACCGTGCCTACATCCGCACAAGTCCGAGATTCGTCACCAGCGGGACTTGCGGCACCGCCACTACCAAAGAATAGGCACAAGTGCCGTCGAATTCTTTGTATCGGTTTGTCTCGACTATCGTGGAGGCGTCGAATCAGCAGCGCGAGGAAGTGTTTTGCCATGGGCACCAGTTCGCAAGCCTTCGCCGGCGCAAGGGATGAACGGTTTGCCAAATTGTGGATGTCAGATTGAGAGGCGTGATTCGAGGACGAAAGTGGGCTGCGTCGCATGCCGGCCGTCTTACACGAAGCAATAGCAGCTGAGAGAGACGATGTCGGACGGTTTCTTCACAGGCAAGACTGGCCAGAATCGGCTCTATGACCAAGCAGCTTGCGCGTGAAGGCGAAAAAGAGCAGCAGCTGCGCTCAACGAACGGTTCTCCCGGCGCAAGATATCGGCTCTCCCGTAGACACTGCCCCGCGAAGGAGTAAGTGCCTGAAGTCGCCGAGACGCACCGGCAGGGCCATGACTAGCGAACAGAGGGCACTCACGTCACAGTTGTCCAAGCAGACGTAGTTGCCGAAGTGTTACACACCAACAGTCGGACAGGGATGCTGCCGTCCTTGTCGAGGAAAATGACCGACGCCCCGAATGGATCAGCCCTATCAGACATGTGCGCAAATGAAGCAGACGGCAGGCGGGAACTCGAGGTTAGGGCAGGGAGGTGCGCGGGAGGTGCTGCAGGCGGCCACTTGCAGTGGACACGTCGGAGAAGCAGTTCTGGGGAGGACGAGGCAGCGTCACGATGCATGTGTACAAAAAGCATATTGCAGCAGGCGGCCGGGGCCAGTCGCGGAGGGTAGGACCAAAGCTGACCGGACGCAGGCGCGTACCGTGGTTCGTGAGCTGTCGAATGCGCGAGCTATGGGCTTGGCGGAGGAAGCGACACGAGGGACGCAGAGACGGGCCGTAGACGATTCAAGAGCCCGAGGTGGTTCCATGAGTGTTTAGCGACTGTGCCACGGTAGACGCACGCGCAGTGCAGCGGCGACGGGCGGGCTCTGGAGCAAGCGCGGTGCAGGCAGGGCGCGGCGTGCAGGGCAGACTGGGAGGCCGTGGCCTTTCTAGTAATTGTTGCGGCGGCGTGTGTATGTAATTAAAGGCTCGTAGATCACAGCGCGACGGGAGTCCCCGAGGGCTTGGCGAGTCACACATCTCAAGCAAGCTGCCGGCCCGCAGCAGCATCATGCACATGGGTGGCCGACAAGGTTGGGGCAGCTTTGACGGCCATGGGCGGCGTCATGGGCGTGTCATGGGCGCGGTCGCAATACACAGGCCAGACAGGGCGTGGTAGGGGCGGCTCGCACTCAGCGTGTGCTGCTCGCCGGTAGCTCGTGTGCGCGGATGGGTGGGCTGCCCAGCTGCACGTCGCGCTGCAAGTGAGGATGCCGCATGGCATTTAGCGCGTTTGGCGGACCGTCGCCGTCGTCGTTGCATGGGGCGGGCAGGGATAAAAACGCCATGCCAGTAGAAGCGGCGAGAAGGTTGAGTTCGGGCACGCGGTGGGTAGTAATAGCGGCCGCTCCAACCTGAATCTCCTTTTTCGCTTCCACGCTCTTGGGTCCCGTCGTCTCCTCCACGCGCTTCGAGAAGCCTTTCACTCCACAGCCTCCCTCGCCCAACTCTGCCCTTCTCTCCAACGCTCCTCGTGCAGACCACACCCGCCTACACGCCGCCTGCACGCCCGTCTCGAAGCGCCGCCCTACACCCTCCCAGGCCTCCTCCGCCCCGACTGGCTTGGCTCGCCCACGCAGCACTGCCCGTCGCTCTCACCTGCAGCCGACGTTGCGGCCCGCCTGCCAGTATTTTGTGACACCTCACCCGCCCCAGAGGATCTCCCGCACCACCACCGACCTTCTCTTTACTATCTGCGCTGCTGCCCACCCAACCGCTGCGTCGCACTGGGAGAGCCCCCGCCGTGCCAGCACCGCACACGACCACCGCCGCGCGACACCATGTTCCCTCACCAGGGTGGCCAAGGCCAGCTTCCCGCCCACTGGCAACCGCCCACGGCCCAGCAGCCTCCCAACGGCGCCTATGCCCAGCCTCCGCATGTAAGTGTCTGAAGGGCAGTCACGCGTGCCTGCACGTCATCTGGCTGCCTGCCTCTGGTAGTCTCTCTCGTAAGCTGGGTGACAGCGCGCTGACACTTGACGTCGACTAGATGAGCACCACGCTCCCT